CCCCTCCCCCCCTTCCCGGTTCTGCAGTTGTCCTGCAGGCTGGACTTTCCAGCCGCTGCAAGGAGTTCTCGGTAGTGCCCAGAGCACTGTGGTCATGCCGCCAACTCCCCCTGGACGGGTGCCCGCTGGGCACTGCACACGGAACCTGGTTGTCCCCTGTGATAAGCAGCTATCACTTACTGAGCGTCTGGTACCCGCCAGGCTCCATCCCTCATGCTCTCCATTTGTTTTCCCGTTTAATCTTCACCACTGTCCTATGACCTCATTTTCCTGACAAGGATGCTGCGACTCAGAGACGGAATGGCTCCCCCAGATCATACACTCCGAGTAAGAGGTGACTGTAACCCAGGGCTCCGCAGCCCTGCTCTGGCTGCTTGTACCAAAGCCCTCATGACTCCTAAAGAAGACACGCGCATTTCCAGCTTGCGTGGGCTTTGCACGATGTGCTTTTAATCTCAGACTTTGGCTCAGGCTGTTCCTCGTTTGCCTCAGCAGCCCTCAGCCTCCAGGTCTGTGGTGTCCTCCATCCTAACGGGGAGATGGGGTTGGCCTCACCTGGGAGACCATCAGTTGAGGTTCAGTCTCCCCTCGGCAGCACTGGGACTTTCCACAAGCCTGTGGTCCTATCAAGGGCTGGTGGTGTCTTGGGCAGTGTCCCCAGCCCTCAGCCTCCAGTTCTGCCATGGGTGTGGCTAGAACCGTCTGGGGAGGGGCGGTGTGCTGGTGACAGGTATTTCAGAGTCTGGACTGTGCCTCCAAAATCAGGATCCCGCCCCATCTGTGAACCTGGGTTGGACACTTGCACCCTTTGACTGTGTACCTCACATTACACGGCATGTCTGGACGGCCACCACAATGCACACAAGAACAGAGGGCCAGGAGGGGACAGCACCCTGGGTTACGGACCACCTTCCTGTCCATCGACAGTGTATCTCTGATTGCAGGCTGCATGCCAGGGTGCTCCAGGCTCGCAGCCGACTCCCAGGGGCATATGGAATATTTGGACTTTTCAAAGGAAACAGCTCCATTTGCATGAGCTAGTGCTACCAAGTCATTTGAGTATAACTATAGAAGAAACGGAACTGTTAGGCCTTTGGATTAAAGGTGCTGTAAAAATATTACCGAGACACCGAAGGTGACATGAACAGGGGAAGTTTGGGAACCTCTGTCCTGTATCGTATCAGCTTTTAGCATACGGATGTCGTGAGCATTAAACGAGGTCATGACCAGAGCCCTCCCCAGCCTACCTGCCAGACAGGAACCGAGGGAGGGGTGGGCAGAATCCACGCTGAAGCTGTGGGCTGCTGCCCTTGGCCTGCGCGGCGGGAGTCAGTGGGCTCATTTCACTCCTGCAGCGCTTCCTTTCCTTCTCATGTGGTTTATCTTTCTCCTCTGCAGGGGCAGCCTGAGCATCAGGTGATTTTTGTAAGTATGCTTGAGAAAAGTTAAACCCTTGCCCCACCTGGGGATCCGGGAGTCTCTTTTGATCAGCCTGTTGATTTCCCCGTATCTGCCTCACACGGACTGAGGCCCAGTGAGGACGCTTAGTTCCTGGGAGCAGGACTGCACAGCACCCCAGGTGAATTGCTAATCATCTGGGGAGAAACCACGTTCCATCTCATGTCTGCTGCTCCGTCTCCCTGGGTAGAGTAAGATTTAGGGAACATTTTGAAAGGTTGAAGTCATTTAAGCTCTGTTCCAAAACTGGGTGAAAAAGACCGAAAAGGAAAGAGGCTATTTAATGAGTGAGCACCACTGTGGGGGTATTTCCCCCCTACCCTCTTCCCTTCTCCTTTCCTTACCTCCCCTAATCCTTGCAGACCTCCCCAGTAAGATAGGACCAGGCCACCAAAAACTGGGTGATTGACTTTTCTGGATTGAATGACAACCAAAAGATCAGGTTGGCAAGTGATGAAATGACCGAAGTTGCCTGGCTGGGAACGTGGAATTCCGATGCTTTCTTTGATAATCTGCCTACGTGGGGGCTTCTGATTTGGTTAGCATTTTACACTTGCCTTTTTCTCAGGAGAGCAACCTGCAGTTTTGTCCTGGGAAAATAAACAGTAAAACAAATCAGGGCAACCTGGTAATTTCTTGGAATTAGAAATAGAACAGGATGTTTAAACTGGCAGCCTCCACACTTTTTATCATACATACCATAGGTGAACAAATACTTGAACATGTACCAATATGTGTATATTTATGTACTCATCAAGTATACATATGCTACTCTGCTGATATATTATGTACATTGTAAAATCCCACAGAATTTTAAAGGAGGCCTTAACATAGAAATAGAAAGTTCTCGTGTTTTCTTCTCGGTGGATTGTCTT